TGAAGTACCGTGAACTCTGTCTTCCTCCTCCGTTCCCAATTGTACATATTTCCCCATTCCACCAGGATCCAGGGATTGTGTCGTGCGTTTTTTATATATATATATATATATATTTATTTTCGAGCCTTCTGAATCCGAACCGTCTATCATACACACACACGTGGACCGTTTCGCTACTTGCTCTCCCATCACCACCACCACACACGCAGCTTCATTTTTTTCTTTTGCTGCTGCTGCTAGTGCTCCTCCTCCTGCTCGTACGCGAGAACGGTTCTGACTACGACGGTGGTAGCAATGAGTTGGCTTTTATGCACTCCGAGTGCGGTTTTCGGTTGCCTTGTGTTTTTGTTTCAAACTGGATATGCATATATTTTTTTTACTGGCACAATGCAATACCGAGTTATCACATACGAAAACAACAACATGGCATTTCTTTTACACAATCTATCGTTGTTTTGTTTTGTTCTGTTCCCTGGTCATATTCGAACAGGTGGTGAGCGAGGTAGGTGAATGGGTGGGGCAGTTGTTTTCGCCTGGATCACGTGATCATGACGATGAGTAAGAGGGTAGGGGAGAAAAATGCTGTTTGTTCAGCTTGTAAGTGTTTTCCTTTTTGTTACACGCATTTGTGTGGTGAACAGCAGACTGGACGAGCCCATTAGTCACGAAAATCGACTGCTCCGTCATGGAAACCGGTAACCTAAGCCCAGCGGGACTTGGAGTGACGAACCATCTAAGGCTCCGCTAGGTTAGGTGTGGTAATCAACCGGACGATAGCAAAACTGACTACCACCAAAGTTGGGCTCGAACCTCGGACAATAGGGTTCAAGGCACGCCCGTGTGATGCACTCATTTTATGGCCAGCGGCTTTTAGCTGTTAGGATTGTGTTTCATGGTGGATATGGGTCGACAAATAAAAAGATGTGGATCAGCTGGGACCGTGGTTCCGGAAACGGATAATCGTCTTGCGTTATTTTACAGTATACTATGTATTGGAGCACCGTAAGCATTGGTCACCGGGTCGCCAATAGTGTCTGTCGTCCGTTATTTATTACTTCCCTTGCAATGCAAGACTGGATTGAGAAACAATTTCATTCGGTGGTAGTTAGAGAGATGGAATGGCTAGTTCGTAAGACCAACAGGGATGGTGGCTTAGGAAAAGTTGTGTAATGCGAAGAGGATTCGGCATGCTCCTGGTTCGCGTTTGCTTCATCCCGTACGTCATTCCACTTTGGCTTTCCGTGGATGCGATCGGCGACCGTAAGTGTGTACTAGTAAATACCATATGATTTCGGTTTAATATTAATCATGGTAGTAATTGTTTATTGTACATCTGTGCTACCGAGTTCGGTCCGGTCTAATTTACCCGGTGTATGTATGGGAGGAAACAGACGAACACTGGTCACTTCAAGTCATACCAAAGTATCATTTCCAGTGGACCGGGACCATCACTAGGGCAACATTAGTGCATGAATCAACTTGTCATGGATTCGGCAGAAACAACGGTACGATTATAATTCATCATCGACCAACAAGCGCACGTTTCGAGTCAGATTCGCGGTTTATATAATAACGAATTGATTGTGTAAATCAGGTGTGAGATGAAAAGCTGGGAAGCAGCACATAGGTTGTGATAAAGTTTCCAACCGAGTCATAACCCACCTGGAGGCTAGTGCTAAGATGAACTGGGCGCCATACCTGTAACAAATTCTCAAAGATGGGTTGTACTATCTATTGTGTAATTGTAAAATGAGAAACAGTCTGATCAGCTGTTGTCCGGTGGCTGAGTGGGAAGAGTGCTTGCGTTCTACCTGTGCTGAGTTCCCGGGTTCGCGATCCCTACTTAGGTGGATGGATTCGCATTGTTGCTGATGAGACCCAACCAGGCGGAACTAGCTGTCCAGTGAGCTTGTCCTAGTTTCTCAGTTCACGCTTCATTTGCTCGCTATACACGACGAATTGAATCAAATCCTCGACTACTCTCAAGTAAGAACTTTCTCCTCGTTGTGTGGCTTCACTGTGCCAGCTGTGAATACAGTGATCATCAAACTTTGCGTGTTTATTCTCCAGATCAGCCCAAGTTCAGGTTGGACTCAGGCAGTTCATTTCGATTGGGTCCCGTTGTTGTTGTTCTTTACACGAACAGCTTTGGGGTTTTTGTGATTAGTGCTCAGCTGGAAGCAGAATGTCGTACCAATAGGTATGAACAAGCGACAGATAGACCGAATTGATTGGTCATCATTACTCAAAACTATCACATGTATCGTACAAACTTGTATAACCCGACGAACTTGGCAGAGTGATGGAGCAGAATACAATCAACACACCAGTGTTTTCTAGCAGGCAACGATGATGATGATCGTGCTTGATTGCCATGATGTTTTTAAATGACTAATTAATTCATTATAAAACGTATGTGCAAGTCGTTTTGACCCGCTGCGGCAACTATCGCGAGGATGGAATATCTATCTCTTGTTATGTACTTCACCGGAACCGATATCTTGAAATGATGATCTCTTTGGACCAGCCACACTAGCCAGAACATGATGACCTCTGAAGAAGACAACTGGTAGGGAAGAAGAAAGTACTACATTCTACAGACAAACAGAACCCGTCCCATGTTTCAAAACTACAATACTGCCCGGTTGTGATGCACTAAAATACTGTCTTTCTCATTAAATTGAGTTTCATTATATTTATCACCTACATTAATGCTTTAGGTATGGACAATAATTTATCTCTTGTTTCCCTCGATCAAAGTAGTTTCTAGGCTGCCTGATTGTCAGTGAAATGCGCCTGACCTTGGTTGTCAAGATGAAATAATCGTAAACTTTATCAAATATGAAAACCCAATCTATTCTAATAGGAGTGATTGAAGAATTATCCCCAAATTCTATCCACAACCCCTTGCCACCTGATTATCGTCTGTCCAGTGAAACGATCTTCCCCACCATTCATACTCCTTTCTTCTTCAAAGAAAAATGTAAAAAAAAAAAAGATTTCAACTGGGTCAGGTTACAGCTGACGTGAAGCCAGCAGTGAACGCGCAGCAAACGCCGGTCCATATTGATTTTGCCCCAGAATTCAACTCTCAACGCGCGTCATTTTGCTGATCGGTTTTTTTCGCCGACGAGTACATGGTGTGTGACGAGAGAGACTTAGCGGGCTCACAAAAAAGTTATTTGTGTTGAGAATTACTCAAAAGGACTTATTCCACCACCACCATGAAATAGTTTCTCACCGGTCGGGATTAGTCAAGTCAGTAGTGGCTTTCTGCACCCGAATGGGTGTTTTTTCAGCATGTATACGCCATATTTGTGAATTCAAATTTACCAAAACATTGCATAATGAAATTGAAAGCAATGGGGTGTGTTTGTCAATGAAGCAAGCGGTTGCGCAATTCTGTGNTGTAATGGATTTTGATTTCCGATCTGTAGATATTTTGAGCAAATCGAGTCAAGTCAAGTCAAATCAGTAGTAGCTTTCTGCACCCGAATGGGTGTTTTTTCAGCATGTATACGCCATATTTGTGAATTCAAATTTACCAAAACATTGCATAATGAAATTGAAAGCAATGGGGTGTGTTTGTCAATGAAGCAAGCGGTTGCGCAATTCTGTGGAAATTTTCTCCTCGTCTATAAGTAGACGTGCTAAATATGGCAGAACAGAATTACGATAAGCAGAGTTACGAGCAAATAAAAGTGTAAATCTTCAGCGTCTAGATGATGTAGATACAGTTTTTGAAAATTCGTTGTGTAATGAGTGGTGAGTGTGTGACAGTATTTTGGCGGTGAAACTTTCACATGCTTGTAGGTGTCTGTCTATGGCAGAATCGGCGAGTTTATCTCTGACAATGCCATTACATTTAGAGATGTGTTTCAGAGATCTTGCCAGTAAATAAAAGTCTTTTTTCAACATACCGGGAAAAATTACTGGGGAGCAATGGAACCAGTGGGGTTGCACGCATGCATTCACGAACCTAACAATCAGCTTATGGGGAACAGAAAGTATTCTCAATCGGAGTGAGAAATATGAAGGCTTTCTAACTTCACAGAATGTGTTTTGAACATGCAGTGACCATGATTCACTGAAGGTCAATCTGATCTACTCCCCTCGCATTTTTTATTTCCTTGGTAATTTCAATTACTGGACGACCATAGGATGGATACCTTCATTGGTCATTCATTTACTTATTTTTTGTTTTGATTCATTCAATAATCTTTGTTCGTTTCTCTATCTGTAATATGAGTTAAACCGTTGTCAACAATCACTGCGCTGTTTTATTAGGTTTTGTGTTATGTACATAATAAATATTCATAACAGTTTCTGGCTTCCAACTTCTGTCATTGTTGGTTGCATATAAGTAAATGAAAAAGAGGAATACTACCAATTTTAATAAACACCTAAAAATTGTAGTCTACAACAGCATCATGTCAGTGTCACGGAGACTGTTGCGAATGCGTCTACCGCAAGCAATGAGTTCGGGCTGATAACGCCAACACCGTTTTTCGCTTATTCCTACTTTAGAAATCTTGATATGGCAGACTTGGATTGGATTAGTTGGGATCGATCGTGTTTATTCAATATCTCGAATCCTTTTGAATCGGTAATAGTTGAACGACACGAGAAACACTCGCACACGATTTGTGCTCAGTCCGTTTTCATCTGCGCCAGACGTGTATGGTTTGAACAAATCACGTGATTTGTACGTGAAGCCTGTACTGAAGACTGCGCGATGATTCTTCACGCATGTGGGATAGAAATATTGATTAAATAGAACATTCGGTCGTATTGATTTTTTAATCGAACGAAAATGGCAGTGCCCAGTGTGGACAAAGAGAACTATCATGGAAGGGGAGATGTAGTTTGATTGTGCGTTGTGAAGATAACTTGGATTTTCAATTAATGTTCACAGCGTACAATGATTTTCTAGTGTGTGGTACCTTGCCTGGTGAATGTTCGTTGAAAAGTATCCCATCTTCAACCACTCAGATTTACGTTTTATTTCTTAAAACAGTCACAGGTCAAGTGTCAATGAATGATTTTATGACACAAGTCAGGAATTCCGCAGTTCTTGTGAAGCGAGATATAGTTTCATCATCACTGTTTATAAGAGATCAACTTTTACAACTTATTGTTGCTCAGGTTTGTAGCACTTCTTGGCAGTGATCAAACCCAGAGCAATTTATCTCGATTTGTGTGTGTGTGTGTGTGTGTGTGTGTGTGTGTGTGTGTGTGTGTGTGTGAAAGCAGTGCGGTATCATGGAAATGTGAACACCACTCAGCGATGAAAAAATCGTCTTTGTCCACCGAATTCTTGTACATGCTTATTTTCATGTAAGTAAGAATGAATTGAGTGCCGAAATTGGATTTGAGAGATCGCCATGAAAGCGACATTTTTGCAGGTCGTAACGAGTAAATCCTTTACCATGCTCCCTAGCTGGACAAACTGGATGGGGGGGGAGAGGAGGAAAGTCACGTTACTTACTTTTATT